CACTATATTCTATGATCTATAGGATCATGGTAAGAGAAAGTCTGAAGATCATGAAAGTGGCGGACCAAAGAAGAAGAAAAAGGCTTTGATTGTAGATGACGAGGACAGTGATTAAAGATTGCCATGGAAACCATGACCTATGACCTCTATTGCTGATATGGTAGTGCAGAACTATTTTTATAATCAAACTTGAGGTTTGGTTTCCACTTTGATGTAAGACTGTTTCCATGGTAACCATTCTTTAGACAGCTGATTGGCAAGCTGTTCTTCTAATGAAAAATGGCACTGACAATAAAAAAATGGCCGCCATGAGAGAACAAGACAACAGTGAGACTGGTTTTTGCCTCTCATTATTGCGTCCACCTTTACAATGGTTATATATGGCAAAAGAACCTGCATGAAAAATGGAACGCTATTTGAGAGAATAAAACAAGTCTTGTGGCTTTCTCAATTAATCCAAAATTGCTGCGTCCATTTCTGGGTAGGGTCAATGGAGGTATTTTATTTTAAATAGCTTTCATGGTGAAAATTAAAATAAACACTTTGATTGGACACTGACTCTTATTTTTATGAAACTGGAGGAGTATTGTTACTCAACAGGCTGCCATAGAGGGCAGTATGAGTGAAACTAGTCACAATTCCTACCTTTGTCAAATATTTTTTTATTGTTCTAATGGCAATGCAAATATATGATTGTCAATAATTTAATGTATATTGTCAAAAATATGTCTAAATCAGAAAAATGATGATACATGTAAAAAAAAAAAGGGTATGAACAAATTTGTCAAAAACTTCTGGTTCCCCATAAAAAATTTAGGTATGTTCAGTTTTTTGTGTTTTAAAAACAATGTTCACACAAGTGAGCAAAGCATTGTTTTTAAGCAATTGCATACTTAAAGTGCCTGTGAAATGGCTGCTATTTTCACGTCTAAAATTATCCACTGATACATAAATTTTATTAATTTTTATGTTTCTAAGCATAAATTATTTTTTTAAGTGAAAAAATGCGTTTTAAACTTTATTTTTGTGTATTTTAAAACGAGGCTCCTCATTAGCTTCTCATTTGCATACAGAAATTCCCCTTGTGACGTCAGAAGGGGAAGTTGCTGGGTAGCTTGCATTGCCGATACGTGTAAATAAAGCAAATTTCTTGTGCAGTTTTCTCATCTTTGACTAAATTGCCAATTATGTACTTGTTCGTCGAGTAAGAATGGACCATAATGAACACATTAGAATCAAGTTTGTTGCATGGGGTTGAGTTAGATGCGAAATATGTCCGGTCTGGTGTAGCTAGTCACCGTGGTCGTCACCGTCATCGACGCACGTTTGTACACTGTTGCTGGACCCCGGCACTGGACAAAATCGCCTGAATCGTCTTGTTATTTAGAAGGTTACTAGGCACATCACTACACTGTTTTATTTCAAAGATCGTCTGAGTAAAAAAAACATTCAAAATTAAAATAAAAAGAGAACATATTTTGACATTCTAAACATTAAATTATAGTGATCAATAAAATAGAGAGATGATTAAAAAAAACGACAAATCACAGTTACTAAATAAATGACAGCCACGTTGAAATAAATTTGTTGTGATGGGTGAATGCGTCGGGTCATGACGGGGACAAGTGCGTGAATGGTGGCGTTTAATTGGATAACAAAAATAATTGAGAGCGACTCACATACAGACAAATTCAGAGTGGATTTAGCACGACATCATATTAAAAAAATACTTGTTGGAAACACATTGACAGCCCAAGCCCGGACTCGTATTCCATAAATTATTACGCAGATCAAGCTGCAAGTAAAGGCAACAAAGGTGTGAGTTCGACATTCAACACCAATCACCGAACAATTCAGACACTTTTAGTCTGCGAAAATGAAAACAGGGCTGCGTAATTTCCTGTTTGTCTGACGCTTCGTTGTCTCGTGTCATTATCAAAATTACTACTACCTCTTACATAACACGAGTGGTCTCTATAAATCGATAATCAGGATTGCAAAAAATAGTCAAATCATTTGAAACACTTACCCAGCATCTCTCTCCCTTCTAAAATCCGCCTCAGGGATCATGGGCTAGTCCGCAATCTATTTTTTTGAAAACGTTTTTTATTGCGCCAGGTTTAAGTTGTTGGCATTTCTCGTTAAAACCTAGTTGTTTTGTCATGAACAAGGACAGTTTTACGAAATAAAGAATCTGAGGTGAAGTGGACATTACATTTGACGCTGTAAGGAAGAAGTTCACCCCAACCTTTTCTCGTTATTTTCACGGCTTTCGTCCACCGATTTTGCACCTTCGGAAAGGAAACGTGTAAATACTTACACTATGACTATA